CACACACACACACACACACACACACACACACACACACACACACACACACACACTCTTGCGCACTTTTTTATTGATTGATTGATTGGTGGAAGGAAGGCCGCCCACACCCCACGCACTTACACACACACACACATCCGAAAAAAAGAAACAAAGAAAAAATCTTCTTTTGTTTTGTTGTTCTTGTTTTTTTTTGCAGTTTTCAATTTTTATGTTTTTTTAACACCAAAAAATATGCGATTTGGAAAAAACAAAAAGGGGTTGTAGCCTTGTAGGGTTCGAAAAACCCTACAACATGCATCCCCTCTGATGGCTGGAGGGAGACAACAAAGCTATGTTTGCAGGGGTCCCCTGTCTAAGCCTTAGGAGTAGTGGTAGGTAGGTAGTGAAGGTGAATTTGAAAGAATTTGAAAGATGATGAAAGATTTGAGTGAAGAAAAAAAAAAGAGAGAGAGGAAAAAAAAACCCTACAACCCCATATATATATATATATTTACACTTTATTTCGCGGCCGTTACTCCGGGGCCACTGTCCGTAGCCGCGGCCACAAACATGGCCGCCCGTGGCCGGGCCGTGGGTGATACATTGGTCTGAGTGCTTGTAAAAGTTGTTATGGGTCTGGGGGGGCCTGTAGGCAAACCTGGGTAATGCTTCCAGCCCCCGGGTAGACTGTGAGGACCCCGGCCTCAATCTTTATATTTTGATAATAAGCCTTGGGCACTGGGCCCGTTTTCGGGGGGGAAAAAGAAAAAGGAAGTTGGAACGGGGTTCCCCATTCCCACCGTAAGGAGCACGGCTGTCGAAAAGGGCCCAAAAAAATTCTGCAACAAGTGGTAAAAGAGGGTAGGGAGGGGGGGGCCCGACAGAGAGGGATCCGAAGGGTAGGGTCGTCTCGAGAGGAAGTGGGGTGGAATGGGGGGGGGGTGAGGAAGAGGGAAGAGGGGGAGGAAGAGGAAGAGGAAGAGGGAGAGGAAGAGGAAGAGAAAGAGGCGAGCGGGGTTGGGACAGTCTACACGTGTTCCGTGCGGCGCCGAGAACGCATCCCGTCACGTTGTTAGGGCGTACTCCCACAGGCAGTATCTAATATGTATGTGACCGCATTCACGGCCATACCTGGATGTATGTGGCCGCAAGTCCGTCCAAAAATACGTAAAAGTCGTAGCGTGAGTATGCCCTTACTTACGTTTTTTGCCCCCCCTGTTTCTGTTACGTTTCTCGTTCTTTTCCAGCGAGTAAGACAAAAGGAAGTTGCGCAAAGCAAAGGGGAAAAAAGAGGGTGGGGAAAAACGAGGGTGAGGAAAAGTTGGACGCGGAAAACAAGCGAGAAACGCCACACCACCCAACGGGAGTTGAGTGATGTTTTTTCTTTTTCTTCCGTTTTCCATTTCCACGTCCAGCTTCAGCGTCGTTGATCACTTTTGAGCCCCACCTTTGATCCTTCCCAGCCTTGCCGTCGATCGTTTCCAGCCTCGCCGTCGATCATTCCAGCCTCACCGAGACTGTGGAAGACTGCCCCACTGCCTTGCGTACTTGCGCCTATACTAGTAGTAGTAACCCGCGTCTAGCAAACACACTCTGGCCTGCTGGCCGGGGCGACAAGCCCGCTGTGCACCCGCCCCGCGTAGAGTCTGTGTGTGCATGGGGTGACGAGAGAGAGAGAGAGAGAGAGAGAGAGAGAGAGAGAGAGAGAGAGAGAGAGAGAGAGAGAGAGAGAGAGAGANGAGAGAGAGAGAGAGAGAGAGAGAGAGAGAGAGAGAGAGAGAGAGAGAGAGAGAGAGAGAGAGAGAGAGAGGCACGTGAGGTCATAGGAGCTGCATAGAGGCAAGGGGAGGGAGGGGGAGAGAGAGGTGGGTAGTCTCCGTGAAAGAGGAGAGGGGTGAATTGGTACACGAGCATGTGCGGGCTGGGAGGAGATGAGGGTGTGAGACGCCAGGGCTGCGTGCTGGCTATGGTGGGTGCACTGTGCATGACGCCCGGGGTACTTGCTGGCTGTCGTCGTAGACGTGTGTGCGACGTCCGGGCCGCCTACTGGCTATGGTGATCGCCGTGCCACGCTCATAGCTGCGCAAGATCAGAGTGATTCTGGGGATTTGAGCTCTGCTCAGTGGATTAGTCTTGATCTATTGAGGTGTGTCTGTGTGTGTGTGTGTGTGCGCTTCACAGACAGAGAGAGAGAGAGAGAGAGAGAGAGAGAGAGAGAGAGAGAGAGAGAGAGAGAGAGAGAGAGAGAGAGAGAGAGAGAGAGTGGTACCGAAGGAGGCAGTTGAATTGTCAAAGTTAATGGGTCGGTGTAATTCAAAAATGGGTGCTAATTACTAATTAGCGAGCAGCGACAGAGAGTAGTACGTGTGGTCCTCGGTGATGTGAGAAGCTGGCAGGCGGAGTCGACAAAATCGACGAGAGTTCGAGGATCGGCCGATGACGTGTTGCATGATGTTCTACTTGCACCTCTCCGAGGAGTCGAAAATTGCCTGACCAGAGAGACAAAGGCAGATATCGGCGCAGTGTGTGACCAGGCAGGTATGCTTGCCTCTTCTAGTCTGTACTCTGATATCTGATGCAATCTCCGCGAAAATTCTTCGAAACTTCCCCTCCTCACATGGATGGATGCTCTCGTCTGCTGCTCTGTTTATTTGTCACACGTACTCGTAGATAGATTGTTATACATGGATTGATGCTGTTTCTGCTCGTGTGTGTGTGTGTGTGTGTGTGAGAGAGAGAGAGAGAGAGAGAGAGAGAGAGAGAGAGAGAGAGAGAGAGAGAGAGGCGCGGGGTGGTTAAGGGCGTGGAATCTTCGTCACTGTGGGAGTTTGGCGAGCGAGTACCCGGACTACCGTCTTCCCCCGAACACAACGCACCCTCATTTTGCGGACTACCGTCTTCCCCCGAACACAACGCACCCTCATTTTGGTTGTATATGGCCGGAAATATAACTCGTGTACATTCATTTTAAGGGTGCGTTATGTTCGGGGGAAGACGGTAGTATTGGGGGTGAAGAGGGGTGACCGGGGGTTTAAGGAGTGGATAATGAATCAGACAGAGGACGAGACGAAATGACGAAATGAAGGGGGGAGGGGGGGGGGAGGGGGCGGGGCTCAACGACGACGACGGTGGCCGGGGGGKGAAGAAGATGGATTTGCACAAATTGGCCGACAATGGGATGGCTTGTGGGGGATCAGTGATAGAGGGGTCTTGGGGCCCAATTAGTGCCTTGAGTCGCGGATTGCACGTGCGTTAGAGTTCACATTAGCATAATTAACATAATTAACATAATTAGCATAATTAACATAATTAGCATAATTAGCATAATTAGCATAACTAGGCAAGGTTGATTTCTGTACAGGACTGTTGCAGGTTTGATAGGAGAATTGTGTCTTCTATCTGAAGCGCGCATTAAAGGACGAAGAAGTGGAGGAAGAGGAAGAGAGAAGAAAAAGAAGAGAAAAGCCCAACGGCCTTCTGTACACGCTTCAAAAGCTCTTCACTACATGTCCGCGCAAGAAGAAGAAGAAGACGGCGAAGAAGAAAAAGACGGCGAAGAAAAAGAAGACTAAGAATGGAGGTAAAGAAGAACAAGAAGGGAGAGAGGGAGAGAGAGAGAGAGAGAGAGAGAGAGAGAGAGAGAGAGAATTAAGGGACCGAAATCACGTCGGCTGTGATGCTGTGGAAAACGGAGGACGTTGAATATCCTTGACTCGGCGTTGAATATCCTTAATGAATTGAGGAGAAGGTCACGAACCTGGTCCGTATGTTGAATTATGGAGAGCGGATTCGAATCCAATCCAATCCGGGTCGATAAGGACCGTAAGGTCTGTGCCTTCAAAATTTTGACAAGAAACGAAAGAATCGGTGAGCCGCCTCAAAAATTTGCATGCGATCCGATTTCTCTTTCTCCATACTCTCTTCCGTCTCCTCTCCTCCACCTCCTGATTCCTACCTCGTCCTCCCCCTTTCCCCTACCCCGCCTCCCCCCCGCTCCTCCTTTATCCCCAATAACCCTCTCCTCCCCCTCCCCGAACCAAAACCCTCTCTCTTCTTCCCTCCCGGAATCAACCTTGGTCAGGATTCGCAGAGCTTTCGATTGCTAGAGAAGGCCTACATCGCTCCAAGACAGAATGGGAAAAATTAAAAATTAACGCATCGTTCCTCTCTCTCTCTCTCTCTCTCTCTCTCTCTCTCTCTCTCTCTGTGTCTGTTGTCTGTGTCTGTCTGTGTCTCTCTCTCTCTTCTTTCTCTCTCTCTCTCTCTCTCTCTCTCTCTCTCTCTCTCTCTCTCTCTCTCTCTCTCTCT